ACTCAGATTATTAATATTTAGTTTTTCAGATTTTAAAAGAGTTAGTTAAAAAAAATAGTAGATTTATACCTCGACGAGTTGCAGTATGAAATAAGAATAATAATAGGAAAGTAGGTATCAATTTCAATAATATATCATTATTTAAAATGATGCAAGATTACTCGAAAAAGTTTTTTTTTATTTTATTTTGTTTATTTTTGGTTTTTTTTTTAGTTTTTTAAAATTATTTATTTTATAGTTGTATAAAGCTGCTTTTGAATGAAATAAACTTTCAGATCTGCATTTATAGCATATATTGCAGACCATTATAAGCCTGAGCAACTTATATTTCTTGATGAAGCATCAAAAGATGAGCATACTTGTACTAGGATATATGAATATTCTACTATGAATAATTAGGTATTTAAAAAAAATGTCTTTATCTGAGGTAAATGTTAATGATCTTACATGCATTAATACTAACAGGTATTATCACTATTAAAATTATTGAAGGAAGTTGTAATAAGCAGTGTTTTGAAAATTTTATAATTAGAGAAGTTGTAAGTATTATACAAAATATTAAAAATTTAAGATTTAATGGGCTTGGTACTAAGAAAAGAGATGAAATTATCTGTATTAATCAGAGTCATATAATTATTAAGATAGTACCCAAATCATTTAATCAATATAATTTATTTTTTGTAAAGTTTTTTTTGTTAATTTTGTCTTCTATTGCAATACCAGGTCTGTATATAAAGTATTATAAATATTAACTATAAATATTGTTTAAAATTCCACAAATATGAGCATATCCTGATGCAAATAGTGTTTTAATTTTAGATAATACTTAAATTTACTACAGCAAACTATCAATCAAAATGGTTAATGCTATTGGCATTCAAGTTTTATTTTTTCTGCCATATTCACCAGACTTTAACCTGATTGAAATAGCATTTTCATTTATAAAAACCTACTTAAAAAAGAATTGAGAATTTGTAGAAGCAAGTGCAGATTTGATATATCCAATTTTAGTAGCTTGTACTGAAATATCACCTAATATAGCAAAAAAATTCTTTAAATATTTAATATATTTATAAAATAAGTAGATGTGCAAAAAAAAAAGAAAAAAAGATAATATTTATGCTATTAATTATATATATATGCAATCATAAGAGATGATGCTATTTATGATAATAAATTTCTACAA